CCAAAACGCCAAGTGCTCACCCTCGTCTCTGAATCACAACTGCAAAAAAAGGCTAGAACTAATCACCGCTGGCAACTTGTACTGGGACCTGCATCACGAAATATATGCAGAGTGTAGCATGAGTACCAAAACATATGTACTTAGTAGGCATCAAAGGCCGACTGAGCAAAAAGGGTAAAAAAAATAAGAAATGATAAAATCTAGACACAGAGGGGTCAAAGTTGATATGAAAAGAAAGCACACGAGCATACCAGAAATAAACTAAGTACAACTAAACTAAATAAAATTGGACCCCCCAAAAGCCTAGAAGGTACACTCGTGTGCAAGTTTAAATAAAATCTGAACGGACCCCCATAAGCTCGACAGGTACACAGAATAGCTAAGTCTATTGAGAAAGAAGAAAACTGGGCTCCCAGTCCAAAGTAACCAAGATAATCCATCAGACTTCATCCAACCAGCAGTGCACTCCCAACCCAACTAGAAAGAGTGACCCCAAGGGGCACCCAACCAAACAGTCCACTCCCAGCCCAACTAGAAAGAGGGGCCCGTGGGTGAGGTAGATATCGCGAGTCGTCCTACCATGCAGTCAGCTCCCAGCCCAGCTAAAAAGAGCGACCCGGGGACACCCAGCCAGTAGCACACTCCCAACCTAGCTAGAAAGAGAGGCCTGGGGGCGATCGCCGATATTACCGAGTCTACCATACACTCCCAGCCCAGCTAGAAAGAACGACCCCGGGGGTGATGGTATCTCCCATAGGATCCAATCCAGCAGCAACCACCGTGGAACGTTGTCCACTCCAAAAAATCACAAAAAAGGCTCCAAGCATATATTATCTCAATCTCATGCCTCTAGTGATGCATTGAACCTTCGAGAATGCGACAGAACCGTAAAATTAGAGGGAGAAGATACAGAAGTGCAGCAAGCAGCGATAACGCCTAATCTCAAGTCTGCTACTCCAGTCTACAAGGAGCTAAGTCATCCGAACGACGTCGACAAAAAGTCAAGGCTATCCAGCCCACACGGGTCATAAGTCTAAGGCAATGCTAGCCTAACCTAGACTAAGGACAGCATGCTTACGATTAAGGATGAACAAAGCATACAACACATAGCATACAAGCATACAATAACATTCAGCACATAAGCATGCAACTCTACTAAACCGGTTAACATGGTACTACACCTGAAATGTGGCCAATCGATCCTAACATAAGGTATCTAATTAAAGTAAAGTAGGAAACTGGTACCTACCCCCAATTCATTCCAATCGACATGCTTTTACACAATTAAGCTCAATCTAATAGAAAAGAAGTCGTAGCCTACTTTCAGGCCGAATGTAGGAAAGTAGGAAACTGGTACCTACCCCCAATTCACACCAATCACTTTGCTAGAGCTTTTCCTTCCCGAACGACCTTTGAACGTTGTCATTCTATCAAATGTAGAATCACAACGTTAGTACAGTCGTTTAGACACCAAAATCACAACAAACAGAGACATCAATTTTGGAGTCAAAACGGAAATCGTGGGACCCACACTAAATTGTCTGGATTTGACTCCGTCAAGAGACCCAAAATAGTACCCCGAACTTCTGTTCCAAAATGGAACACAATTCGAGGCTCCAAACGCAGCAAAACCCAACATGCAAGAAAATCACACATTAATCAACCTAAAAGAAAACATGCAGCAGTCTAAACTCGAAATTTACAAGAATTAAATGGTGCCCATCACTCCTTGAACACTCCACTACGTAGCCAACGATAATTCCCAACACGTGGGACTTCGAATCACCCAAAATCGAGCTAAAATGAGTGAGATATGACCAAAACAAGGAGGCCAAAAACAAAAACTCGAAAAAAGGCCTAACAATCAGGTTTACCAAATTTACCTCAAACGACATGCACCCGACAACTTTCAAACACTCTACAGCGAAGCTACCAAAAATTTAAAGCTCCCGTATTTCGAATCGCCTAATTCGATTGAGAGATGAGGGAGATATGAGGTTTTTAAGTTTGGAAAAGGGTGTTGATTTTCTGCACTAAATACACAAGATTTCAGCCTATTTTTCGTAAACTTAAAAACTCCGACGGGTGCTCCGAACTCGTTCGAAACCCCGTGCACGCAGACGCGATATACAACCATACCAAATTTGATATTTCTGACTCAATGACACAGTCAAAATTTCCATACGAGATCATCTTGACAAAAAGTGGGTCTCATACCCAACCGTCATTTTAAGTCAAAAACCACAAAAAGGCTCAAAAAAATATCAGAAACCTCGGGACATGAATGAAGGGTCAATCTAGACCAAACTCGACATTCCGGAGCAAACCGCGCTGACGGAATTCTCATCTGAGCGTGTTTACTTAGAATGTGACTAAAGTCAAACTTAGGCTTAAACACTGACAGAATTCTCATCCAAGCGCGTTTACTCAGAATGTTGACTAAAGTCAAACTTAGGCTTGAACTTAAAGTTAAAACGCCTTATCGCACCGACTCACACTGAAAACCTCGGGAATCATGTCGACCATGCTACAAGCCTAAAATGACCCTTTTGGAGCTGATGGAATGGTCAGAATTGGATTCAAATGTCATTTTCTTGAACTTTTGATTGAAAAGAATCGTTTAAGGTTCATAAGCTCCAAAAACACTAAAACTCATACAATAACCAAACGAACGACCAGGTGACCGAACTGTCAGTCCCAGCAAGTCAATAAATGACTTGGGGTCGCTACAGGAACACTCTAAACAACACACAGAGGGAAAAACACATAAATGACCAGGACTGTCATTACTATATACCTAGTAAAAAATATTACATAAGGAACTGTAATATGAGCTCCTCCGATTCTTCAAGAAAATATGTGGCTTCCTCCGGTTCTTCATGGAATAAATTAACGAATTTGCATAAGGAACTATCTCTTGAGCCGTTGTATACCTTTGATGTCGACCAAAGAAATTGTCACGAGGTAACATTCAAGTTTTCTTCTGATTCTTTTATTTTTGAAGTGTAAATTGTGAAATAATTTGAATACTTAACATGATATTGGAGTAATTTTCTTAAAATTTAGAGGTTTTTTGCTTGCTTATTTTTTAATCGGATATTTTTATTGTTTGATTCTACCTAAGCTTTGAACAAATGTTTATAGTTTATGTAAAAATCTTTTTTTACCATGAACAAGAAACCTTTGATATTTATAGTTTGTGTAAAAATCAATGTTCCTAATATCTAGTTTATCTCTAAATATCCAACTAAATTTATTGTCTTCTTTATCAGCTTCAAGGAACGAGTTTAATTTTTTCCTCGACATCAAGACTAAATTTTTGTATAGATATAACGACAAATACTCGTAAATGAAACATAGGATAAAAAATTTCGCTATAAAATTGAAGTAACTAGATTTCATAGAGAATGGATTAATGCTCTCATATAGATACATTAAACAAGCTGTCATTTAAAGAATTAAAAAATATTATTAATAAATTAAAAAATGTGACATGACATCATAGTTGGAGAGAGATAATATATTTTTTATGTCAATTATATTTTGAGGAAAATAGTCAAAGTTGGGTGATATTGTAGTCTTAAAACAAACATAAGTAATACTCCTAGGTAATTTTCCAAACATGGGTGACTATCTAGGGAAATTACTCTTCTTATTGTTATACAAATGATTCAAATATATCATTTTCTTTTAAGGAAGTAAAAAAAATAATTTTAATTTATTTTTTATTAAAAAAATATAATTCATATGGGGAATATTTGATCCTCCTCACACCTATTTTTTTTTTTTTTACTTTTTTGTTTCAACGAATAATTTAAAGTTATTATTTTGATGGTCAAACTTATTTATGTTTCACTAATTTTCTTGTAAAATTTATTATAGATGTCTTAATTTTTTTTTAGAAATACAAAAACTAAATTACAATATAGCCGAAAAAAGTAGTTTTAAATTATAATATAGACACAAAAAAATTAGCTTTAATTTTTTTTGTTTATACTAAAGAATGAAAGAAAAAATAAAATAAGAATAAAAGACTCAAATAATGATAATCAAAGAAGTCAAAACACAATTTATGTTTGAAAAAAATTAAAATATACCTTGAACTTTGCTAGAAGGATCAAATATACCCCTACATGAATTTTTTTGAATTAAAAGTAAAAAATTTAAATTTAAAACTATTTTTTTCACTTCCGTTAGATAAAGGGTATATATGAGCTCCTTTTGTAACGATAGGGATATATGTGAATCATTTGTGTAACAATAAGGGTATATCTGAACCACTTTCATAACGAGGATTATATGAATTCTAAATGACAAAGTTGAAGGGTATATGAGGCCGTTTTCCCTATGGCAAAGTTTAGGCTTTCGAAAGCATAAAACGTACGCCCTTAATTTCAAAAAGGAGGAAGAAATGTGATCTGAATAGGAGAGTCAGAATCTTGTAATTTTCTGTGATCTCAAGTTGGACATCAATTTCTTTTGTTGACTATTCTGTAGGTTACTACAACTATAGAATTTTAAAGGTGCTTTTCTTCAAAAAAGGTGTAGCAGCTAGAAGAGAAAAATTAACTGCTGGCACTAAAAGCTTCAACTGATTAGTATATTAAGCAGTTGATATATAGAGTCTAACTACCAATGACTGATTCAGTCGAAAGAAGTGCAGGGCAAAAGCTGAGTACTTATACACATGTTTCTTAAAAAACAACTTATAAGCATGCATCGCCAACACCACGGTCTTCTTATATATTGAGCATTACCCACTCCTTTGGAGGAGTAATCGATATTCCAAGAGTCAATGCAGCATAAAGTTGTTTACTTGTTTCAGCTCATCCTGCTCTCTTCGTATTTAAATGCATCTAACTTCAGTGATTCTCTTGCCTAAAACAGCACCATTGACTAGCAAAACTGGAGAACCAAGCTCTTAGTTTGCACTTGGCTCTTTATGTACAATTGTCTTCTCCATACCCTTATCTTGTTTTCAAAGAATGGAAGCTAGTACTCAAAATGAGGACCTGCCCCCATCTGCAACTTCTCTTTAATCCAAGAAAACCATCTTCTATTTCTGACTCTTCTGTTTTATAAAATCAGCCAGACTCTGCATCATGTCTTTCAGAAGCCCTCTTCATTGAATTTCAAGTTCATTCTCCGTATATTCTGTATCAGACCATTCTTGCTCTTCTTCACCTACCTGACCATCAGTGACTTCACCCATATCTCTCCTAGCACTAATAGTAGCAGCACCAGTGTCCATTTCAGAATCTGCACAAATGCATGCTGTTGGGTTTTCATGAAACTCTCCCCTGCCTGGCTTCACCTCCATTGGCTCGCCCATGAAACCTATTTGAGACGTTCGAATTTGTGAGGCAAACTCTTCCCATGTCATGTTATTTCGACGAAGGAGCAAATTATTAAGCTTCTTCGCATTTGGGCGGATAGTTGGCTTGTGATCAAAATATCTCCTGAAACACGGAAAGGATTTTAAAAAGTTTACCCTTTCCTGGAGTAACAGACTAATAAATAAAGCAACATGGTATTTGAGTAAAGAATATGGCATTTGTAGGAGTATCATTTTGTCGAAATTATTTCCTAAGATGGAAAATTGTTTGAACTTTTTTGTGAAGTCAGCTAAACTGATTCAGGTCAAAAACATCAAGTAGCTTACCTTCTTCCAGCGAGCATTCTTGCCATATTACCATTGTTATTGGATACAAAAACATCGCTCTCATCACAAACCATGAAGTCTAACGCAGCCATCCGAGAAGAAAAGGAAGAGAATGGTGCCAATTCCTCCTTGCTGGCAATTGTATCTTTGGAATAAAAATTTGGAAATAGAGCCTTGAGAGGAGCCAATGTCTCCTCTCCACCATAAATTTCTCCAGATGCCACATAAATATGAACATCATTACCGAAACCAAGTGCTCTAAGCATAAGGCCAATTTCCTCAGGAGTGAGAGGGCATTTTCCGTTCCTTCGTTCCTTATCCGGGTTTCTTGCCTGCAAGTAATGCCAAAGAAGTAATACCATATTAACTATAAGTAGGGGCAATGTATGGACTAATAGTTACTAAAATAGGTAGTGACTCACATGTAATGTCTTCCACCTCTTTCGTATTTTACCTAGTTCTTTCCTTTCCTTGTCTCCTCCACCGTAATAGCATCCAGAGAATGCAAGCATATCTGGTTCAAACCTAGAACATGGTAAACAAGTTTCAGCAAGCATGTTCCAGTTGTAGAATATTGACTTAGAGAAGTATACAATCTACAATGACAAGATCAACATTCAAATTCTAAAGGAACGTCACTGAATCTGAAAATAACACTGGAACACACATAAATAACCATTTTATCAGATCAGCAATATAACGTCCAAAAGGCTAGCGCTTTTGCCTTCTATATTTCAACAAAGCAGCTTGCATTGTTGGGGAAAAAAGAGATTCTTTCGAAAAACACATTCATGAACAAGAAAGAACATTTGTGAAAAACATCTTTTGTACATAAATGTTAATAAATTACCTCAGGTGCAAGGCAACAAAGTGCTTGCTTTTCATTCTTATCCTTTCAACCAATTTTCTGCCCATTTCAGTTATGGGATCAGTAAACTTCAATGCATGATAATTGACTCTGCATCTCAGCTTCTGCATATCTGTAGTCAATCGATTGGAAAGCCTATAGTCAAATTTTGTTAGCTGAACGGCCTGCATCAGAACAAAGCATAGAGTAAACAAAATGAGAATCTACATCCAAAAACAAACTAGTTAATCTAGATATACTTTAAGAGCCAGTAGGAAAACCTCACACAAGAAATATGCAATAAACTACACAGACACTCTGTACATTACGACGTTGAATCCCCTCACCACCCCACCCAACAGGTTGCGTATTCAACAACACAGATATTGTCAAGAAGATATGCTTGACTTACACTTTTTTCCTAAAAACAAGGTGGAGCTTGTGTTGTATGGATAAGTAAATTTGTGTCTAACTTTCTGTACCTTGAACTTTCAAATTTTACAATACTATGACTTGGTTGTGCATTAGGGTAATATGGATGGGAAAAATACTACATTTCAGCACGAGTTGCCACATACATGTACAATGCAACAAGAGTAACAGAATACTAAGGACCACGAATCATGTGATGTACACAAAGTTCCATGTCGTGGGATGATATCATGTTTTGATGCACTGGAAAAGGCAAACATGTCCCATTAATTTGTAAAGGACTTACGTGCTTTTTCTTTAAAATAGGCAAGATGCGAGTTTGATAACACTTGGCATTGCACTTCCTTGGAACGCGTGTTGTATATGGAGTTATGATTTTATCTCCGATTCTTGGAAGATCCCTAATAATTTTGACATCTTTTGAGATTCGTGAGATAAACCAGTCGACATCAAAAATCTCAGAGAAGTTACTGCACGTAAAAAAGGAATGATTACGTTCATGAATTGTAGTACACTCTAACAAACAAAAAGATAGCTCATAAAATGCCTTTGTGCACAAATTATTCCAAATAAAACCTTGAATCTTTCCAGTAGGATTTCTGGTCGAGTTTTGGAACTACTAGGATGGCATTCAAAATATGAGCTGCAACAACTGCATCTACAATCTGCATCCAGCAAGAAAATGATTTGAACTCAAATTTGATTTAGCAATCTTTTAAAATATAACTGCAAATAATAATTAGAATTCCAACGGTAAAATAATCTGCTTGTAGTATCTCAGATTTAATAGAAACTCTTATGGTCTCTAGAAATGGACTTGCTGATTCATGATTGCACAGTTGACAAGACAGTGTCAACAGAAAACTACATACACCATTACAAATAAAAAAGTAGAACAAGTTTCTGCCAGGTCAAAGGAAGAAGATTCAAACAAGGTAAACTAAGTAATGGTAAAGGCTAAATTGGGTTCAGGGAGCAGACTAGAGTACTCTCTTGACATTGACTATTAATTCACAAGCTACAACTTGCAATCCATATGCAGTTGCATGTCACAGGTAACATTAATAGTAGTAATATTTTGCTGGTGTATGGATGGACCAAATCAGAATTTCAATTTCCAAGTGAAAATTTTCTTGTTCATATTTAGAAAACAGAAGCTAAAATATTCAAATTGCTTTTTCAAATCTGCACTACTTGTGTCTTATCCAAATCTGCACTACTTGTGTCTTTTCCAAAAACTACCAAAATTGCTCCTGAAAAAGTATTTTTTATTAAATCTTAAATGCAGTGGGGCGTGACTTAGAATTTAAATCCTCCAAGGAACAACATTCAAACACATAGTCAAGTATAGCTCTTTATGGCATCTCTCCATGTTGTTGATGGAAAACTTGGCAACATACCACTAGTGGGTAGAGGTTGTTTTTCAATAGACTCTCGGCTCTAGAATTAGGGTAAAAGAATATATTTACCCCTGTTCTCTGTTGATTCAAGCCTCCACTAGTTGCAATCATCAAGTACCTATTGGGATGAGTATTCACCTCTGCAGCTGCAAATGTTACAGCGCCAGAGATCAGACGAATATACAGTAGAGAAGAAAACAAAAATTAGAAAAACAAAATGCACCCACTTGGAAAATTATTGCTGGAATCACTGCAGCCATGATAGAATTTCGATTGCTTCGAAATCCATACGTCTCCGCTTAAACTTCCTCCACCCATCTACACATTCAAAATCAGGAGCTTCAGATTTTTATTTATTTTTAAAAAAAAACATCTTACGTATAGGTGGAAACAGTCAAAACAGCAGTAGAGCTCACCGGAACACGAAAGACATGTTGTTGTTGCAGGTTCATGTGAAAGCCCGTCCCGTTAATGAACTAAATGAAATAACAAAATCAGAACAAATAAAAACAAAGAACAAAAATGATGTAATGTATGAATACATACCGAGATGGGATTGATAAGGTGATGTTGGTGGATGGGAGGAGAGAAAAACAGAATAAAGAAAAGAATAGCACCAAATAAAGCAGAGGCAAGAGTAAGGAAGCGGTGAATGGGGCGTTTTCTTCTTCTGAAAAGCAGAGTATGGAGAATGATTTGGAAAATTCCAAGAAACAATTTTCTCTTCTTCATGTTTGTAGTAATCTTCAATAATCAACAAATGGTTTGGTTTTAGTATATATATATATAAATCCTGCTTTAGGTTGAGTAGAAGGAAGTTGGTAGAGAAAAATAGTGGCAACTGGTTTACTAATAACACAAGGATTTAGGTTGGTTTCGCTAAGCCTAATTCTCCGCACAGAATTTAGGAGAGTTTTTCCTATTATGAATTATGAATAAAAGATAAATGTAGATTGATTGCTTATAAATTACTACTTCCTTAAATTACGAACTCTTAAATATAAAATAATGAGAGAGGAAAGGAATTTTCGTGTGCAAGCAGGTGTTACGTCTTTTTTGGGGTTTGCGGAGTGAAAACGACAAACAATATATGTTTTGGCCCAGCTACGGGCCTACGCCTGTTTACCAAAAGTTTCTGTGCTCTTTTCTAGTTTTGTTTCCATTTCTATTTTTATACTTTCATTTTCAATTCTCATTCCATATCAAATTTCCATATATAATTTTAAATTAAAAATATATCTTAATGTTTTTAAACTTTTAAGATATTAAATATGTAACTGGAAAATTAGAATTAAAATGAATTTTTAAAAGAATAGTGGACTTTAAAATAAGTAAGACAAACCAATTAAAATTAACTTTGTTCCTTAATAAAAATAGATATTTCAGTTTATTTGTCTATTTTAGCAAATGAAAAGAATTTATAACTCTTTCTCATATTATTCTTAGTATTAAATAACTATGTAAAATTAGTAGTAAGATTTAGAGTTTCGAAATATCATTGATAAGATTAGCTTAGTAAATAATATACACCTCAAATTAAAAATTTCTTAAAAATTGTATCAAATCAACATGAGTCAAGTAATATGAAACGAAAAGAGTACGTCTTTCATTAATTTTTACTTACTATATATCAAAAATAGATTTTTTTATTATTATTTATCCAATATTAATAATAGATTTTACACTTATACTTGTCCACTTTAATAAATCAATAAAAAGATATTTTTTTCTATTTTAATCTTTCAAATCTGTCAAACCTATGCATCGACTAATAGAGATCATAGTAAAAATATATACTTTATTTATTATTTTTAAAAAGGTGTGCTAACTAAGTTTATGAAGAAATAAAAATGAATGGAGAAGTATTTTTGATGAATTGTGATAGTATGTGACACACCTAGTTTTAACGTAAAACTCACGTATTGATATTTTATCTTTACGAGATAAAATCTACATATTTAGTAGTTATTGGATTAAAAATACTTCTTCTTTTTGCTTAAAAATAAATATTGAGATTTGATTTAGCAAGTTCAAATGATCTTTTTTTTATGTATCAACTTACAATTTTTAAAAATTATTTGACTTTCTCAAAATGATAATGATTTCTATCAACTTCTTCTTTTATGTATCATTTGAACTATTCAAATGTTAATTAATTAGTTAGTAAAATATACCTAATCTCACTTTCTCTTGCCTCATTTTATCCAAAATGTAAATTTTACTCCTAGTTCATTTTTATTTATTTATGTTTAACTTGCCATATTTCTTAACAAATAATAAATAGAGGGATAATTTTACTATAGCACTCATATAGCCCTATTAATTATATGTCATCTAAATATTTAAAAATTAATAATATTTAATAACAAAAATGAAATAGATACAAAGATATGTGCATATATAATTGATAAAATATTGACAACAAATATTTTGAGACTTTATTTTTTGAGGCAGGTGGCTTTAGGCTTGAACCGGCCCCTTATATAGTTAGCCACATGCACAAGAATATAGAATATACAAATTAAGCTTAATTGTCATAGAATTAAATGAAGTTGAATGTGAAATAAATAGATGGATGATAATTTATATTGCGAATCCGATACATAATTAATTTGATTTTTGACATTCAATGTAATGTGACTATACAAATTTAAAGATATCATGAGTTACTAGTTTTTGGTTTGGTTAAGTTTGTGGGACAAAAATAGAAGCAATTGTTTATTCCGAGTTGTAACAGAATATGTTTTGTATAACTCAAACTGCTTTCAATTGTTTATTTGCATTTATTTTAGAAAATATGGTTGGCACGATCTCTGAGTGGCCTGCTTGGACCAGACATTTCCGTTCATCAATTTCAGAGTCAAGAAGATGGTCAAAAGTCAAAACAACCCAATTTGGTAACGCCAATGAAAGCGTTCAACAACCAAAATCATGCCAACCTCACTTTCATTTTATTTGATCCTTATATTAAATATTTTTTTACATTGTAAATCAAGACAAAATTATTATTTTTCTTCCATATTATATTATCATTAAATAACTACATAAACTATTAGTAGTCAAATTCAATTTTTCAAAACATAATTAATAAGGTTAATTTAGTAAAATAAACCTTTAATAAATATTTTCTTAAGAAGAGTGTTAAATCAACATGAGTCAAGTAAAATGAAACAAAGGGAGTCAGGGGCGAACCTAGGGGGCTGCTCTACGGGTTCACGTGAACTCATGCTCACCTTTTGAGATCATATATTAATAGTTTTATCCTTTTTAAAAAAATATAAATATTTACATATAGATGTGTAAATCCACACTCAAAATATCATATAATGTGAGCTAAAAGTTTAATAGGTTCATTGATAAGAACTTAAAAATCAAAGTGATCAAATTTATATCCAAAATTCACCTTTTATAATAATGCATTCATACTCTTGAAATTTTGAATACACCCGCGCATTATATATAAAAATAGTTGGGATTAGGTGCTTGAGAAAGTTTTAAGATGGGATGGTGTTTGCTAATTAAGTAATGATTAAGATATTAGCTAGGTTGCACCTAATTATGCAGCCCCACATAAACAACTTAAATCCACATCTGCAATGATGATGCATGTATATTAGGATTGGCTAAGTAGTAGTCGTAATCTGAGATTCAACTTTGTCAAAAACACATTAAGATATTAATCAACTTGTCTTGTACAATGCAGGGGTTGAGCTGTTCTTTTGTGGGAAATCATTGTTTTAGTCTGACAATATTATAGTACAACTGAACATGTTAGATTTCCCTTTAAAATATTTACATTTGGTATAATGAATATAATTTGTTGAATTTCTCTCATGTATCCATTCACAATTGCTGGAAAAAAGGAGAGGAACAAATGTAACCAACTACAACTTAATTTATATATATTGATACCTATAGAAAATATCAGGTACTCCTTCCGTTATTTTTTTGGTCATCTTGCGTTTTTTGAAAGTCAACTTGACTAATTTTCAAAGTTAAATTAGTTTACATTAATTCAATATTTTAAACTAAAAAATTTAGATAATCAAAACTATATGAAAAGTACTATAAATTGTAAACTTTTGCATATTAATATGATGAAAAATATTAGTCAAAATTTGACTATAAAAGAGGAAATTATGACAACTAAAAAGGAACGAAAGGAGTAGTATTTATTTCTTAATCAAAAAGTTGAGGAAGATTGAGAAAAGCTTATGTTGGAATTAGTAGTGTGGTATTATTGAGTCATTGATTCCTACAAAAGTCAACAAGTATGGAGAAGGTGATTGTTCATGGGAAGAACGATTTATTGTGATGAATTAATTACCTACTAACAATTTGTTATATTTACCATCACTGAAGGTATTAATGGGGTTGAATTTTATAGAAAATTTTGTATCAACTATGGAGTGTATACATATAAATAGAAAAATCATAATTAATTAATTGACTTTGATGGCCATAAGTACTCTATTGATGATGTGTATGACAAACAATTAATCTATGAAGTTATGAGTCACGCGAAACTTAGTTTGATAGGGAGATTGTAGAGTAAGCAAAATTTGATGCTAAATAAGTTGAAATGAAAAGGAAGCTAAATATAAAGGGTAAGAATACTCTTAATGGTGTGTTGCTGAAACAAACTCAAACAACTAAAAACTTTGAATCTGAATCTCAAATAAAATTCTTCAAACATGTTATTTAATCCAACAATTATAAGAGAATTAGCCTCATTAACCCATAGGCCAAGACAAAGTCGGCCTATTGAAATATTTGGTGTAATATTTTTATTGGTTAATTATTCATATTTAAACGAAGGAGCCTCTGTCTCTGTCTCTGGATTCTGCGTGTCTTTTGAGATTCACTCAAACAGTTAAAATAAAAAATTATGGGTTGTAGGTGAAAAAATGTGGCGACTGACTGACTCATTTTGTTTTAACTTATTCATCCAAAAATATACTTATTTGAATTAGCTAGTACGTAGTAACGGACAGTTTTATAATAAATGCCCCAAAGACAACATGCAGAAACAGAAACAACAAACATCACGTGAATATATATATATATATATATATATATATATATATATTATATATGATTTTACTTGAACACCATGTTGATTGTTGTGCACTTCAAACTTCAAAACAATCCATTAATTATTTTTTGTGTCTCTCAATTGTTTTGATTAATAGTAACTTATTTGGTCCAACATCTAAAATTTACTTATTATGAAAATCACTGTTATAAAGGATAGTGATTAAAAACAATGATTTGTGTTTTGCCAATGCAACTGTCTTCAGCTTCTTAAAAACTAACTTATGCTACAATTCAAAAATACTTATAATTTTTCCTAAAATTAAAACAAATAATTTTTCAAAAGCTTGATGATCTTTAAAAAAATCCATATCCATGACATGATCTTTCATTAGAAGAAAGTCTAGAAAAGGGTGCAATGCAATGTGATAAGCGAACTGCATGTATAAGTTTTTTGGATCCTCCAACAACAAGATGAGTTCTACAGTGGGCCAAGCCACGTTAATCTAAAAAGTTTAAAGTCCATTCCACTTGAGCCCATATATATATATTCAACTCTCATTGTAGATTTGTAGTATTCCAATTTAGGCAATAATCCACTACAACAACCAATGGACAATTAAAAAAATAAAAATAAAAATAAATAAGGAGTTGCTAGAATGTCAAACTGAAATGATTTTTAAGTCAAAAAATAAAAAGTAGGGGGAGATCTACTTTTGGTTTCTGTCTTATTTTAAGTCATTTTTTACCTTGTCAAACACTTCATAACTCATTTTAAGTTATTTTTTATATTTGTCAAACATTTCAGAAGTCAAAAACTGACTTAAAAGTAAGTTTGATCAACTTTTAAGCCTATCCAAAACAGGCTATGTATGTTCAAGCTAGCTATCAAGGGATAAAAAAGGCTTAGCAGCTCAGGGGAGGAAATAAAAAAGATAAAAATACAAGTGTGGAAAGGTAAATTCTCCATGCCCAATCTTGTGATTGTGTTTGTCATTTTGGGATTCGCCTCGGGGCGAGACAGCCTACACTATGAATGTCGATAAACACGCTAACAAATAAAAGGGATAACAAAATGGATCTGCAGAACATTGTTAATTTTATTTTGGAGGTTTCTATTGCTTTGAGAATTGACTATGAGAAAGAAGAGCACGGAAAAGTATTGAGTTATATGATCTGGTTCTTCTATGAAAATATAATTAGAGTTCCACCTCTTCTTTTCTATTCTTATTTGATGTATATATCTTCTTCTTTTTTATAGAATTATATATTATGAGTATATAATTATTTAATCATCTAATCTAAAAGCTTATAGATTTAATTATATTGTTAATAAAATAGATATTCCGACTATTTTTTTCAAAATATTTACTAAAGGTTTCATTTTAATTTGGCTTATGGTTTAGTTTTCGAAAATAACTTAATTGTTGGGAAAGTTCTCAAGCAGTACTATAAAAAAGAAAAGGAGGGAGAGGCCTAAAGAACATATGACACGTGTCGTAAAGGGTTTGGATATATATGGTAGAAATAAAGATTCAACAATTGTTTGTATTTTGATAGATAAATTACTACTCCATGTTAAATGTTGAAGCTCCGAATTGGAGTTGGATGGACCCGACTATCTTCGCTCTGAATCCATTCAAGAACCGGTATCTTCTTAATTCCTTTTTTCTTTAATTACTTCTTATCATCATCTTCCAACTTGCTTAATTTCTATTCCAGGCGATATTTCCCCCCACCCTAACTGAGGCTGTAGGTGCCTGCCATTATTGAATACGTCAGTTTCTCTTCATTCCCTACGTTCATTTTTACACCCACCCATGACTGCAAATTTACGAATTCTTCTGCATACAATTGCCCGCCCTTATTGTTTGAGAAACTTTACATATACCCATTTGCTTGCTTTCTCATACCGTGTCAATTATGTAACCAATGTGACTGATAAATAAATTGCCAATTCTTTTATTACCCTTTGGATTTTGTCATTCTGGAGCTTGCTCTTTCAGTTTGAACGTATATATATCCCTTCTCATTTTTTCTTGCAGACCCGATGCTTCAAGTCGAATCCGCCAGAACCTTGGAACTGCAACATTTACTTGTTTCCTTTATGGATATGGGATTCTTTTCCCCCATAAGGTTTACTCTCTTTTATTTTTCTCATTTGTTAGTTACCCAGATAATTCCATAGTTGTTCACCACCCCCATTGAAAGCTCACTTTCTTTCTAATGCAATTGCAAGAGTTCTTGTCTTGACAATAGGATGGATAATATATATTTCACTCTTGCTATATCCCGGTGCATAAAGTTCAGGAAAAAACTAAACTGTCTGATTTTCTTTCTTTGTACTGACCTTTTTTCCTTTTCCTTAGTATCCGGTTAACACTTAAAACAAAACAGAATGTGACAGAGAATCTCTATCCCTATTTAGAAACTAATTCTCGGTATCCATGTATTATGGGATACTATCCCTAAAATTTTAGCAATCATGATGGACCAACCAGTACTCTTATATATAATCAAAAGACGTAGTATTCAAATCAAAACAAGAATATTCTATACAATGTTCAAATTAGTGTTCAACAGATATTCAAAACAACTTGAGAGTCAGCACCCGATAGTGTCTTGACCCCCATCCAATTTGGGGCCCACCTGAGTAAGATAAATTGGCACTATTGTTTGGAAATTCTCTATTATGATTTAAGAGGTCTAGACTTGCTTATGTTGCACTTTTGTTGTTCTCTTGAAGAGTATCTATACATACTAAGGTTTCTGGCATCCTTGCTTTGATTAATTTTCTTACAGGAGTGGAGCTGATATGCAGTTTCTTTGTTGCATCTTGGACTGGGGTTGTCAAATACCACGGCCCACGACCTAAGCAGGTACATCTTCTGCCATAATTGAGATCTTACATGTGAACTGTGTCTTCTCTAAACATCTAAAGTTGCCTTGTGCATTTTATCCACAGGTTTTTGTCGCAAATCACACGTCAATGATTGATTTTGTTATCTTAGAGCAGATGACTGCATTTGCAGTGATCATGCAGAAGCATCCTGGATGGGTTGGTAAGTGGTCTAAAGCATTTGGCATTGTTTGCTCGTTCACTTTGTCTCTGTCAAAAGTTGCCAAGCTTTGATATGAAGATGTGTATATTAACCACTAAGAAAAAGGGCCAAATTGCCCCTCAACTATCATAAATGGAGCAATTTTACCCTCCATTTGCAAATAATCCCAAATATATCCCTTCTGTTAATAACATTGGCCATATATACCCTTAAAAACTAACAGACCTCCATGTCATTCTTCGACACATTTTAAATTTATTTAACTGATCTTATGGACGGCAATCTATGAATAAAACCCACCCCACCAAACTCACTGATTTTGGTAGCAAAAGATAGTTCTGGTTATGATAAAGTGGTTATTTCTGTAAACTTAGAATAATGTATGCATCCAGTCTTATTAAATCACCATGCCAATTATAAAAACAAGTTACCCTGCTGATACAGTCTAGGCCAAAGGTTGTCTAATCACTTCTGATTTCTAGCATTCCATTTGCTTATGTTCAAACCTTAAGGAGTATAGGGCGCTATACCATCTCTGTTGAAGTGGGTCGACAGGGGCGACACAAGTATGACTTCTTGTACTGTCCTTCACCTTGTCATTAATGATGGGGTGTCATTCGATTGTTTCAAAGTATTTAAATTATGTGGCTCAACTTCATTTGCATTATCAGTTGCCACCTTGAAGGGTGTCAAGTGCACTTGAGAAGAGAAATGGCACACATACTTAGGAACTTCGGGCTGCAAGCTTGTTTTTGTATAACTGCAAGATTACTGCAAAGCACCATTTTAGAAGGTGTTGGATGTATCTGGTTTAACCACTCAGAAGCCAAGGATCATGAAATTGTAGCACGGAAGTGCGTAATGTCAGAAGAATCATTATAGACATCTCACTCTGCAGTGTTTTTCTTACATATTTTAATTTTCAGGTTGAGGCAACATGTTGAAGGGGCCGACAACAACCCTCTTCTTATATTCCCTGAGGGAACTTGTGTAAATAACCACTACACTGTCATGTTCAAAAAGGTAGGGCCAATGAATTCATTCATTTATACAATTTTCAATTGTTGAGCTTAGCTTGACCCAAATTTTAGGTCTTTCGAATATTCCCCTCTCAACTATGAGGAATTCTTTATTGTGAGTCGTTGGTTAAAGAGGAAACTGAAAAGTACATTTTATGGTATTTCTGATCTTCAATATATTTGAGTATCTTTAGGGTGTGGCGGTATGAAGAAAATGTTTTCTTGGAAAATATTTTCTAGGAAAATAAGTGGGGATCTTACTTATTTTCTAGTGTTACATAAGCAAAAAATCTTATCATAAAGTATTTGTATATAATCTAGACAAATACTATGGAAGGTGGGGGTAGGGGTGGTGAGGATTGAGGCTACGGAGGTGGGGGTGAAGATGAGGTGTGTTGGAGGGTGGGGAGGACACAATCAAAGTAGAATGCCACTAGTGAAACTTGTTTTTCCTACTTCTACTAGAGAAGTCATTTTCCTTATTTTTAAGAAACTTGTTTTTCTAAAGTAAATGTTTTCCAAAATTTTTGACCAGTGAACATAGAAAAATTGGAAAAAAAATTCCTCCATACTGAACACATGCAAAAAGGGTGCTACTACAAGTCGGTTTTTTTATGTGGATTTCCAAGTGTTTAAGTAATGGTTTTGATGCCTCTATCCTTTTTCATGCATGATGAATAGGGAGCATTTGAACTCGGCTGCACTGTTTGTCCTGTTGCAATCAAGTACAACAAAATTTTTGTTGACGCCTTTTGGAATAGTAGAAAGTAAGGATTTCTTCATGTCAAATTGCTTATTTGGTTTATTTGTTGGTATTCATCTCGTTATAGTCTTTCTTCTTTCCAGTTTGAAGTTTGTCTTTCTTCTATTAATTGCAGACAATCCTTCACAATGCACCTTTTGCAGCTCATGACATCTTGGGCTGTAGTCTGTGATGTTTGGTACCTGGAGCCTCAGAACATAAGACCTGGGGAGACTCCAATCGAGTTTGCAGAGAGGTTAAATTTCCATTGTGAAAGCAGTAACTACTGGTTCTAACAGGGCATTTATCTTATCAGATGTGAGATATTAATTTTTGGACAGTACTCGTATTGAAGGTAATCGTTGCCAATTTTCTCTTTTCAGGGTGAGGGACATCATTTCTGTTAGAGCAGGTCTTAAAATGGTTCCTTGGGATGGATATTTGAAATACTCTCATCCTAGCCCCAAGCATCGAGAGAGGAAGTATGTTTCCTATATCCGCCTCCCCACATGCTCACGCACAAAAAAGTATTAGACTTAATACTTTGTGCCGTTTACAATTACTTTGATTTTTTGTAGTAACAGAGCTGATCCTTTACCTGCCTTTTATTGATTTCTTGATTGTTTTGTATTTTTTAATTTAAAATATGTTGCATGTGTATTCTTTTTCTTTCAAGCTAAAATCTAATTTAATGTCTCTCTCTGTCTCATATGATGTCCCCTGAACTTTTATGTTGATGGTGTTACTGACTACTATTGTTTTTGTAGAATGAAGTTGTGTAGTTCTCCTGCCACTATGACATTGTTGTCTTTGTTTGAATTTTCGATAGTAATACTAAAATTGCATCTATGTTTGAAGTGAACAGTTTGTTTGCTTTGTATGTCCAGGCAGCAGAGTTTTGCAGAATCAGTGTTGCGTCGACTGGAGGAGTAGTAGATAATTGGATGTATGTTTTTGTCTCCATTTTCACTTTTGGCTTGAGAGCCGTTCAATTTGGAATAGTTGTCATATTATTCTTCCTTGTCAGCTTGACGTTTTGTGTTTCATCACTTTCTCTAACCATAGTTAAAAGAGTATATAAGTAGAAAGTTGACAGCAATTGTGTGTGAAGCTCATTGCTTAGTCTTTATGGTTTTGGATGTCCACGCAATCTTAAACTTTGTGACTGTTACTTTGTGGTTACTCTTCCATGATGAAGAAGATACTCTGTGTGTGTGTGAAAAAGAGAGATGATTGCTCTCTCCAATGGTGGACAGATGGGTTCAAATTCCATCTTTGGGTAATTTTTTTTTTATGACAAGGAAATCCGCAGTCGCTACCCTTTGGGTGCGCACAGGGTAAAATCTCCGCTCCTATGCAATAGCTCGCAAACCACATAGGAGAAGTAAGCCGGTGCGACGAGCTCGACCCAAAAGCAAACCCCTTGCTTTCGCTGGCAAGGGATTTCGAACTTGAGACCTCCAATATGGAAGTTCCAAGCCCAAACCACTGGACCATCTTTGGGTAATTTTTAGAGGGCAGAATGCTGAATAAACTAAATAATGTTGGCTGTTGTTTTCTTGTGCACGTGGTTTTCCCAGTCATTGTCGTTTGTGAAATTAATTGTTGGCTAGGGAATCCCAGAAGAAATTAAGACAGAGTTACCAACTCAAGTGTTTGTTTGTTTTTCCAAAGTTTAATGATTCTTTTTGGTGGGAATATTTATTTGCCCAAAGTTTGAAATCAAAGGCCTGGAGTAACAATCGCTGCAGCCTTTACGTTAGAAAGGAATTTCTTACAAATTCCAAAGACCTAAAAGAATCATTTTAATTCCCATGATATGAATTACAAGACAACAACAACCTGAACAGAGATTGTCAGCTGGTCAATTTTTTCACACATGTTTGGCCTCTAATTATTATGATAATAATTCCAACCCTTTTTCTCTATTTACATATTTGATGTTGATCTGTTTTAATGTGTGTTTTTCCTTTTTCTCCTCCAAAAGTTGTTGCATATGAAGTTAAAGATAAATATTTGATACCATATAGTACACTTTTTGGCTGAGGGAAAATTTTGAACTTTGGGGACCCTATCTATACTATACTAGGACTATTCATCTTTTAGAATTTCATTTTCACGTGAAGTTGGGATCCGTGTCACTATTGAAGATGTATTTATTATTATTATTATCTTCTTTTTGAGTCACTTACGTTACTTTTATAATATATATGTTCAACGGTTTTGGGCTGTTTGAATTTTGATAATTAATTCCCTCCTCCATTTTAGTTGACTTAGTCTACGGGTGATGCTTATACTAGAGACTAATTGAGATGGAAAATAAATAAATTTCAAATCAAGTATAGAAAATTAAATGATGAACCATTAATTTTGAATATGCAAAGTAAAATGAAATGTACAACAAAAGCGTATTTAATGTTGTGAGACTATTCAACTTTCACTTTTCAAAATGCATCTCTTGAGAGAATAACTTTAAATAATGTAAAGATTAAGATGTGGAATATTTTGAAGATTTTAGTATTAGGAAACTGCCTCTGGATTTTCCACATCAGAACTATCCAACAAGGTTTTAAAGTCAAATGAATGAATTGAATATTACTTATATATCTTCTAAACTGACCCGTAACAAAGAATGTGAATTTCTGCAATTTAAATACATCAACATCTCTGTTGACCCAAAAGTAGAAACAAATATCGTAGAAACAACCTCATACAATCTTAAATATATTTTTATCTTGATTTATGTGTTATTGTTTAAATTTTAATTTTGATCATATATTTACAAATGATTTAAAAATAATTATAATTAAAAAAAGCTTATTTAATAAACTGAGACGAAGGAGGGAGTATTTTGTCTAAAGTGAAGTGTTCCATTTTCGTTAAACTGTTTTCCTTTTTCCGTTTTCTCATATACAAAATTATTTTTTAAAATTATAATTTTTTTTAAAAAACTTATTTTAATAGATGCCAAATAAATTGAGACGTATTTGGAGTATATGGCAAATAAAGGCGGAGACAAGAGAAAGACTAAACTGTTTTCGTTTTTCCGTTTTCTCATATTCAGACCATCTTCTTACTACCCACTAATTAATTCGCCCCACTACTTATAATATCCCCCCTCTCTCTCCCCACTACTCAAATCATGTGTAACGCCATTAGTATTACTATTTTGTAACATCCATTCTCCATTTTTTCCACACACAGAGAGAAAAAAATGGTTTCTTTTTCGAGGCTGACTACTACTACTCTAACTCTTGTTTCCCTCTTATGGCTGCTCACCATTTCATCTCCGGCTGAAGCTTCCTTCAGTTGCACCTCCGCTGGAACTTGTGACGCCATTATTGACTATACCTTACCCAACGCCACTACCTTTAATGCCGTCAAGAAACTCTTCAACGTAAAGAACCTCCGTTCCCTTCTCGGCGTCAACAATCTCCCTGTCAATACCCCTGCTGATAACAAATTACCCGCCAATCAAACCATCAAAATCCCCTTTCCTTGTCTCTGTAGAAACGGTACCGGAATAGCCAACAAACGCCCCATTTACACCGTCGTCTCCGGCGACTTCCTATCCCACATAATTACCGACATCTTCGCTGGTTTATTCACTGTTGAGGAACTTCAGACGGTTAACAATATATCTAACCCCAATTTGATACAACCCGGGGATAAATTGTGGATCCCACTTCCTTGCAGCTGCGACGACGTTGACGGTGAAAAGGTTGTTCATTATGGTCGATTGGTGAGCAGTGGCAACAGCATTGAGGCTATTGCTCAGCAGTACAATGTCTCTCAGGAAACCCTTTTGAGGTTGAATGGTTTAGCAAGTCCTAAAGAACTTTTAGCTGGCGCTGTTCTTGACGTTCCCCTTAAAGGTACTCACTCATTCCTATCCTATTGCCTTTTCATTTCTCAAAAGTGCACTATCCTAAATTTATGAATAGACAATCAATTGGCGATTGCCTAACTGCGAGGACTCAAAACTCTGAATTGACATAGGCAGTGCAGTGGCCACACGTCACCCCCCAGGCTGTAGATGCTCATGGACTCTAAAGTTAAAGAGGCCTGTGGAGCATATATCAATTAAATGTTTTCATCTGTTTAGCCCCTTTAAAACATAAAAGGGAAAAAGGACAAATATACCCTAAACTATCGTAAATGGTATATCCATCATACTTGGTGCCGCTGCCGTCTAAAACTAGAACATATATGCGTGGAACAATCTTATCTGTCCATCCGATATTTAATAAATGTCGGATCGGTGGATAAGATTATGACACGTGTATGTCCGTTAATATAAATGGTATATGTGCTCTAATTTTTGGACGACAGGGGCATCAATGTCCCAAAAGTATGACGGAGGGTATCTGCATATCATTTACGATAGTTCGAGGTATATTTGTACTTTTTCCCAACATAAAAATTATGTGTAGCCCTATTGGACATCCAAGGGTGTGGCTATTAGGTCAATGAAGTGGGACTGATCTAGGCAATCAGGGTTCAAGACAAAATAATGAGCTGATTTTTTCCATCTACCTTGGCCGTAGTGGGAAGTCCCGGTATCTGTTATGTTGGGAGGTAGCCAGGTATTATGTGCGTACGCTGGAGGACACCACTGTTATAAAAGAAAAAAGATGTGTTGCCTTATTGGCTTGTTAAAACGTAAAAGCCTATGTTCATTAGAAATTTCTTTACCTTTTCCCGCAACTTCGTACTTGCTGAATTGATTCTTGTATGCGTAGTTGTTCCTACAATAGTTAAAAGCTTCTGGTAGAAGAAGGTTTTTTAACATGTTATCATGTTTCATTCAATGAACTATGGCTTGATGAGATCAAATCTACAAAAAATCTAGATTACCTTCTAATTGTGATATTTGAGTGGCTGACCTCAATGGCCTTAGGGCATGCTAAACATTGGTGTCCTAAGAATGCATGGATTGGAATTTGGAACACACTTCCCTTATGGAATGGAACACCTTGTAGTTTCTCTTTTCAGATTTTCAAATTAAAATAAAAATGATAAGAGAAGGTTGATTATTAAATCTAGTTGTGCAAATCATCATTAACCATATTTTTGGAATTTTCCCATGATTCAAAAGTGTTTGATTTGCAGCTTGCCAATCAACGGTGAGCAATGCCTCACTGGACTATCCTTTGCTAGTGCCAAATGACACATATGTCTTCACTGCTGCCAATTGTGTAACGTGCAAGTGTGATTCTGCGAGCAACTGGACGTAAGTAGCTGAACCAATGATGTTTGTGTTACAACTGGAGTACTCTTGATCAATATAATCTAACGTTGTTGCATCACATCATAAATCCCTTTTCTACTGCAGGTTGCAATGCCAACCATCCCAGATAAAGTCATCTCTTTGGAAGACATGCCCGTCAATGCAGTGCCAAGGTTTAGATAACTTGTACATTGGGAATGTGACCACGTCTTCAGAGTGTAATTCCACATCTTGTGCTTATGCTGGTTACAGCAACCAGACCATTTTTACCACAAGCACTCAGTTAACTTGCCCTGGTAATTAATTAGTTTACACACTTAAAATTGGTTGATAAGACTAATTATGCACTAAACTAAGACATGTTTTGTTGTTGGTACAGCCTCTGACAATAGCGCTTTCGGAATGAGGCCAGGGACATGGAGATGGAGATGGAATGTCATCCTGGTTGCTGCTATCTCTATGTACTCCATGGTTATAGGAAATCTGTAAAAGGGTGTAGGCTTTTTAGCTTTATTTCAGTTCATCCACGAACATGATCTCTTCTTTTCCCACTTTACACACCGCTACTTGTTTCTAAACTGTTCAATTTGATAAGTATTTCTTTTGCTGAATGCAATGCCGGTTTGATTGTCCAAATTAATGATTCTACTTCAAACAAGAGTAGATTTTCACATTCTTAGTACACCTTTTGCATGGTGGTCTTTCGAAAAGCTATTAAATTTGGTCAATACTCAGGAAATGAAGAAAAAACAATAAATTAATTTCTCTCTAAACGAAATGCTACTCTTTTTACATTTCCGTCTTATGTTATCTTTCATTTTGTTCCATTCCATGTATACACTATCAATTAATTAAACACCCTTTTTATATCCAACCAATTTTATATATATACACTAATAATATATACAAGTGAACAAAAATGACAATTCTGAAATTTCAGAAGAACTTCCAAGTACAAATTATTACTCTAAAAGTGATACGATATTTGATTCATTAGTATTTGCCTATTGGGATAATGATTTTCAATAGATTAATGTCTAATGAATAGAATTTACATATAAGATAATTTTTTTGAATATTCAAAATTTGAAGTACCAAATTCAATATTAACTTGAGAAATCCAAAATTTGAATTTTGAACTTGGTCAAATTAGGCTAACCCTACAAATTGTTATTCTTTGAAAGATAAAAAAGACTTGTGATAAAAATTAGTACTCATATGATGAGTATATTTATTTTTTGAAAAGACATATGATTTAAAATAAACGGATTTTAGAAAGGCGACATGCTACATACCTTTAACTAACAAAAAAAAAGAAAAGAAAGAAAAAGAGAGAAGGTTTGAGTAAGGAAAGGAAGTAGTAATATAATAGGTGAAAAGGGAATGCTATGGCAAAAATTGGTTTAATCGACTCTGTTTCTTCCTTTGTATAATTCTGGTTTGGCCCTTCCCTTCCCTTCTCTACCGGCGGCAGCCTCTTCACTAGGTATCATACTCAATTTCCTTTGTTCAATTACTGAATTCCCCTTTTATTTCTATTCCATCTGCGCTTAACTCTTTCTTCAAATCACCGCCTACCTTTATTAACCATTGCTGCGAGAAAGCGGTTGACAAATACGAGGGTTTCTTTCTCCCTCTATTCCTTTCATTACAGATTTTTAGGTTAACATGATGTTAAAAGACAAAGAACCTTACATTTATCAAAACATACCATCCTAGTCTACAATTCATCCAACAACAAAAAAAAAAAGTTGCCATCTTGCCTAGAGTTTTACACCGTATAGCTTCAACTGTACAATCAGTCCTGTTCTAGGAAATCACTTTATCACTCCTTTGGATGGTTGTTACTTGTTACCCATTATATTGTATTGTATCGTTAGTTTTTATACCATGTTTGTTTTGATTGTTCCATAAATTTTATTGTATCAATATAGTTAATTCATTATTAGGTAACGACGAAAAGGCCTATTATTTTGTGTAACGATCTATTTAGTATGGTGGCGTTGTTACCTTAATATTTTCTTTTTATATATTTTTACTTATTATTTAATAATCTTATTTTATCATTTACCCTACATTTCATAGTTGTTTTACCTCGTACCCTAGTTTTTTTAAGGTTATCATTTAAATTATGGATGTGGACATAGAACGATATAATCTGTCCAAATTTCTATTCATTAAAATAATACAATACAATACAATATAACACACTACAATAGTTACATTATGACTCAATATGTAACAACCATTCAAACAAAGTGTAAACAAAAAAGTAGTACCAATTTTAGGATTAAACAGTTGTGGGAGCGTTTCTTGTTTTTCTGAAATTTTTTCCCTCTTCTTTATGTTTTTTACTCTCTACAGTTGATGTATTCCAATATATTTGTTCTTAAGTTTTTGTATGACTATCAGGTCTTTCTACTTTGATTATGAAGTGAGGGACACCAGCTTATAAAAATGGCAGCTGCACAATTGACCAGTAAGGCGATGTATAATGGGTTTACTGAATTGGAAGTGAAAGAGGAGATTTCCAAAAGCTGCTCGTTAAGATTCTCAAATCGCCGTTGTAGTTCCTTTTCAAGAATCAATCAGAATAGCTTGAAACATGTTTATGGTAGCAACAATTGTTCTTTATCGATTGGAAAAAGCAAAAGATTTTCATATTCACCTGTTCTTTTCCCAAGGAAGCGGAAATCTTTAAGGTTCCGTAATAAGTTCAGTTCAGAGAGTGGTGCGGAAGCTTCTGATTTGCAGGATACCACTGCTGTAAAGGGAATAGATTATCTCTCAAGCTCAAGTGGAGAAGTAGAGTAAGACCCTGATCTTACTTAAGTTTTCTGGATAGTAGCTTTTTCTGATGCTAGGCAGACATGATTAGGGGCCTACTAGCAGTCATTCCCCATCGTTATGTGCATACGTTGTTTTCACTAAATCCCTTGTCAGGGTCACTTCTTCAATCTCTGTGTCTAACTTGGAGTGTTTTTCCTGTGACTATGAAGTGTTATCGAAGTAAGATCTTATTAGAATTGGCAGAACAAAAAAAATAATCTCACTAGATATTTTCCGGAGGTAGATTGTTACACTGGGTATGTTGTTGTTGTTGTAGATTGTCCCTCACCCCCCCAAAAAAAAGTCGATGCTTCCCTTGATGATGGTCACAACCAACAAGTGCACTTTCCCACACCTTATTAAGCTTTCCTGTTTCCATTGTATCTAGCGCGGAGCTTTTACTTCCTTCCTGCATCAGAATATTTACAGTAACATTGTTGTAACAGTGTTATTACCTGTCCACGATCTTGGTACTTCTAGCTTTGGTATCTCAATTAAAGGCCCTCCTAGAATGGGCAAGGACAGTCAGTTGTTGGCTTAATTGTCTGGGCTTGGGAACTTTAGCATCTATGAAAAAATTGAAGTTATAAAGCCTTCACACTTGTTGTCTCTGCATTACACATTTTCAAAGTAATTATTGCAGAGGTTAGGTTCATTGATGAAACTTAGAGATCTTAACTGAGCCTAATATATATTCTACGCTACATACTGATGTTTACATGTTTATTCTTTTTATGGATATTCCGGCTGGCTACAATATGAATTGCGTTTATGTGGTTAAATCTTGACAAAGTGGCATTACTGATTTGTCTTTTTGATGGTTTTCAAGTCAGCTTATGTTGCTGGTCCACATCCCTCCTTTGCTGATCTAGTTTTCTTCTTTTCAAATCCTTTTGTTGGTTTCAGTGAGTTGAATGAGACTGTTCCCATTATAACAAATGTCAAAAGTGAATCAATAGAAGAGGCTCCTACAAGTTCATCTCAATCTGAGGATGTCAGGCGTGAGCTTGTGATGCTGTCTTTGCCAGCAATTGCTGGACAGGCCATTGACCCTTTGGCACAGTTAATGGAGACTGCTTATATTGGGCGCCTGGGTAAGGTGGAACTTTTGCACATTCAGCATTTTTATGCAACTCTTTAATTGAATTTTAGAATCTCCTGAGATCACAGATGAACTGGTACAACAATTTCTATTCGGGGGGGTGGTGCGAAAACTTATGTCAATGACTAGCATCAATTTGTCGTTAAGGAAGAGACTTTAGGATCTTATATTAACGGTGGTGCGAAAACTTGTGTCAATGACTAGCATCAATTTGTTGTCAAGGAAGAGAATTTAGGATCTTATATTAACGACGACCCTTAACGGTTATGCTTGTATCGATTTAGCATATATAACTTAACTAATTTTGTTGTGGCTACCAGATGTACTTTAGTTTCTATACTATTTAAAGTGTGTGCTATCCTTCAGCTCATGAGACTAGAAAAACATAATGTTCCCTATCTGTATTCTTTAAAAGAATTTGATTTTCTTGATCGTGTCCAGTGAAGCTGGAAATGGGTTTTTTGAGTTTTTCCCATTTTCCTTTATGAGGGTACCATGAAGGGGTGGAGGGAGTGTTGGCTTTATATGCCTTCTTCTTTCCTGTTACTGTTTGAAGCTTGGGAGTTATTTCTGCCTTACAGGTTCTGTGGAATTAGCTTCAGCTGGTGTCTCAATATCAATTTTTAACATTATATCAAAGCTTTTTAATATTCCTCTACTTAGTGTTGCTACATCTTTCGTCGCTGAAGATATCGCCAAGAATGCAACCAAAGTTTACATGTCAGGTAAATGGAGTGTTAACTTTTTCTCATTCATTGTTATAATTGCTTAGGTATTCAACTTACCTAGAGTTGGTGTTCCTACTAAAAGTCTTAGGACTCATGCTCCGACTTTTATAACGCTCATTTGTCGATACGTTGTGCAGAGGGGGTAAAAGGCACCAATGGTAGACTTCCCACTGGGGTAGCAGAAAGGCATCAGTTCTCTTCTGTGTCTACCGCATTATTTTTAGCAGTTGGCATCGGCATAATTGAAGCTTTGGCTTTGGCGTTGGGATCTGAACTACTTCTTGGTTTAATGGGCATATCATCCGTACGATGGCATATATATTTTCTCACTTCCCAGTCTTTCATTTGAGTTCCTTCTTTTTGTGCTTGCTTTAATTTGTGTGAAGTATGTATTCAGCACGTGAGTGCACATAATATCCTTGAAGAAGTAAAAGTTTTAAATAAGGGTCACAAGAGACCATTTTTGTCCTGGCTAATTTATAACTCATACAATTTTTATGTTTATTTTTGCCTGACAAAGTTTGTTTGGTTTTACTGACTCCTTTTTAATTCTACTTTTTCCGTTTTTTCCTGGAGTGATGGGCCTGTTAATAGGGAAAACAGAAGTGAATGGAGAGAGACCTTTATGAAATTGGTAGCCACACCACTTTGGTGCGGAGTGAAGTTGCAATCATTACGCTAGGCTGCAACTTCAATATCAACCTGTGTAATTTGATGATGTCTACTAATAATCTGATAGTGTGAAATAATATAGTGAATTCCATCTTAAGGAACATAAAACCTATTTAGTTTGACTAAGTTGTGTCGTCTCAGCTTTTCATTTTGGTAATTCATGTTTGCAACCTGAGTTGTTTGAGTTTTTTTTTGTTGTTTAGCTAATTTTATTTAGTAATTCGTATACTAGATTCTCATATGGTTATTGGGAGGAGAAAAATCTTGATGACTTATAAGACGATGTTTGGTTAGAAAAATAGCAAAGTTATTTGTGGCTTCCTAAAATATTTTATCACAATTTTCTTCTCGTTATGCTGGCCCTTCAAACACACATTGTTGTGTACATGCATAAAGATTTTCTTATGAGTTCTTACTAAAAATATTGTTTTGTTTGTAGACTTCACCTATGAGAGTTCCAGCAAAACAATTTCTTGCTGTGCGTGCTCTTGGTGCTCCTGCATTTGTAGTTTCCTTGGCCCTTCAAGGCATATTCCGTGGATTTAAGGATACAAAGACTCCAGTCTTCTGTTTAGGCAAGTTTTGGATTCTTGGCTATTTAAGTGATAATAGTTCTTGCCCAATATTCTTTCTGCTGATTCCATTTATGCAGTTTTGACATAGAAATTCCAACTTTTGGGTATCCTAAATTTGTGGCAGGCAATGTTCCCTTCAATAACGTTCTAATTAACCTGGAACACCTTTGTCATCTAAGTCATATATATCTTCTCCTCTAAATCACTGTATTCTTAACTTAATTGCTTATTTGCATTTGAGTTTGTTTAGTATGTATGATGAAGGTGGAAAATGGAAATATTTCCTTTATCACCCCCAGTTTTGGACCAAAATTCTTACAGAATAATATTTATATATTACATAAAAATATGTTTGTATGCTTAATGTACTCATAAACTTACAGTCATGTAAACTTTGTTTGATCCCTAAAATAATAATATTGTGATAAAAAAGTTAAATCGGAGGGAATAAAATCTAAAGCTTTTTTGATAATGAAATACTATCTGATCAATGTTTATTGTTAAATAAATAATTGGATAGTGTAAAAGATTCTTGTGCAAGTGTTATACGGGAAAAATGCCCAAAAAGATAAGTTTTTCCTCATCTTCTTAAGGATGTCTGTAAATGCAATTTGCTGTAATTACAAATGCAATTCTTTATCATTCTTAGATATGTTAATGGAGCTAAAGTTGTACCTTTGTAATGATATAGCATATTATTTGTGCAGGCATTGGAAACTTTGCAGCTATATTTTTGTTTCCCTTACTTATGTACTATTTCGGCTTGGGTGTGTCCGGAGCTGCCATATCCACTGTCATTTCACAGTTTGTGCTTCTCTACTGTCTTAAACTTTTATTCTTTTTATCTTTATATGATGAAATACTTATAAGCTTCAATTTTCTAGATACCTAGTGGCCTTTTCTATGATGTGGTATTTAAATCAGAGAGTAATGATATTACCTCCACGATTTGAAGAGCTGCAATTTGGTGGCTATTTAAAATCTGGTGAGTGGTTATTCTTGAGATGTGTATTCCAAGATTCCTTCTATTTGATAAACAAGCTCACCTCTATGCTTGTGCCACAACAATCTCTTGATGTTTGTTGCATTTCATATCTGTATACTTTTCATGATAGTTAAAGGGTTCTTCTAATTTTGTATTTGTGCTGCCGTAGGTGGATTTCTCATTGGAAGAACTCTTTCTGTCCTTTTCACAATGACACTTGCTACATCAATGGCTGCCCGTCAAGGTGCTGTAGCAATGGCGGCTCACCAAATATGCTTACAAGTTTGGCTAGCTGTCTCCCTCCTCACAGATGCACTGGCTGCATCTGCACAAGTAAATTGATATAAATGAAATCCTCTTTATCCCTATGGGTCTAATTCTACTCGTAACTTCTCTTTTTCTCCTGTACCTCCTACATCAGAACCTATCTGTCTTTTTGTGCATGTATATTTATCCCATATGCTTATGTCTATACTTTTTCTTGTTTATGGTGTGTGCTTCATGTTTGAATCGGCAACTACTTCTGGTGCTTCAAAGCTTTCAAATACCATATGTCAGATGATATATTATAGGATTCAACCAGTAATAGTTGATATCTTGCATCTTATCACAATTTTTCAGTTTGAGACAACTTCTCTTTACTTTGTTTCCAGGCGTTGATTGCTAGTTATTTATCAAAAGGCGATTACGTGGTGGCAACTGAAATTACACACTATGTTCTAAAGGTTTGTGCTTCCCTTCTTTTTTGTGCCGTTGAGCTCTGCAAGTTTGTGAGACACTCTACACTAATAATGAATTTGGACCTATAATTTGCAGATAGGGCTAGTTGCAGGTGTGTTTTTGGCGGCTGCATTAGGTGTTTCTTTTGGCTCTTTATCTACTTTATTTACCAAGGACACAGAGGTGCTAGCTGTGGTTAGTACAGGTTTATTGGTATGTCTTTAAACCTTTGGGAGTATTTGGTTAAATTTAATTTGTCAGTGATTTACCTATGAGTAAGATGTTCTTATCTTCGAATGGTTCTCTGAAGAGTTCGGTTAATGCTCAGAAACTAAGTTTTAAATTGTAAAATTGTAAAATTGTAAAATTGCTGCAGTTTGTCAGTGCCAGTCAACCAATAAATGCTCTTGCGTTTATCTTTGATGGCCTCCATTATGGTGTTTCAGACTTCGCTTATGCAGCTCGTTCCATGGTAAGCTTGTAGTGCATTATGATTCAATACTTACCAAGTATAAATATTTATATTCAGAAGTCGTGTTCTTTCTTTGGCATACAGATGTTGGTGGGGGCAATATCATCTGCATTTCTGCTTTGTGCTGCTAGACTTCTTGGTCTTCCTGGTGTTTGGTTGGGATTGACCCTTTTCATGGGCTTACGCATGATGGCTGGGTTTATCAGGTAATGGTACCCGTCATCTTCCTCCTTTTTGCATGCCAATTAGAAATGTGCTTTTGCGGGATTACATTTGTGGTTCCATTTTTTTCCTGGACTAGATTCTTCTGGTGCTATCTGTACTGTTCTTTGTCTGTGTTCTGGGAGGTATTTTCCATTGATTCAGCAATAAACATTGTCGTTATCAATTGGAGGTTTTTAACGAGTTAATGTTAGATATGCATAATGTTTCAGGAATTCTAGATGAGCACTGCTTGTGTTAGTAGTTTGGATAACAGAAATTTTCAAATTTCCAGTTATATTACATGCTTTATCACAGAGCATTTTTACGTTCAGGTTATTGTCAAAGAAAAGTCCTTGGTGGTTTCTGCATTGTGACACAAATGAAGCTAAGGTTAGTAGAATTCTCATTTCGAAGGAACAGCAACAAAATTTTGATGAAACTTCTTTTTCCCCCGCATAACAAATTCCTACATTGTTGTCTCTGCATGACAGTCGCTGTATGTACTGTATTACAGTAGTTGCATAACTAATTAATTAGGACAAACCTGAAAATATAGGGATGTCAGCCAATAGTCTTATCTGATGCAGTTTTGAAATGATGGTCTGCTATCTTAGTACTAAAGAAATGAATATCCTGCTTCTGTCATTCCTGGAAAGATGATGTAATAATTACCCACGCACAATGACCAAATTTTAACCGAGTACTTGGTATATTCAAGTAAAGTAATAAGATGCTTTTAATTAACTGGGACAAACCTATTTTGTCATTTTTAAACTACACAATGCCATTATAATCCATTGACCTATTCTTTCTTTATTTTTCGTTTGCCTTGTCTCCAATATTATTCATCTGAAAATTTTAAGATAGTCCAGTGCTGCTAATCAGCTGATAAATGTTATTTCTGTTTATTAACTTTATCTTATTCTGCGTTCTCTTTCAGGTTATTAGTTGAGTGGATTAGATTTCAGACCTTTGAAACTTATGAAACCTCCTTTCATAATCCTGATTAACTTAGCTTTCTTGGATGTTGTCTTTTTCTCTGAAAGTAGGATTACTGAGTCTCTATCCTCCATGGGTACTTGCTTTCTTAGTTATTGTTTTTCCTTTATTCCCTCCTCTGAAGTTATTTTCTGGGGGGTGGTGGATGTTCGAAGATTCATCATGACTGCAATAATGCCTTGTGGCTTGGTCTGTCCTATGTACATAAGTTGGAACATCTGTATATATATACTTATCGGCATTACTTCCTTACGTACATATGTACCATGTAACTTGTTGCTCTTAGAGGAAAATGTTGGGCATCTTGGCTTAAGAAGTCAGCTTTGCTAGAACGAAAGGAAATAAAAAAGGTTAATTAGAGCATCCCTTGAATTTCTTGAGGTCAATCAATCCCTAATGATCCTGCAAACTTGCTGTACACAAAATACATGTTGAATCGCCTTTCAATGACTATCTATGGGAAAAATAATTGGGATGTGTTCAATGAGTTTTGTAGTGTTTGGTTCTCTGTGTTAACCTACCTGTGGATTTTTATATCCAGCTTATCATATTGAAGCATGCGAGAACAACACTGTTGTATTGTCATTCTACCTTAAGTTTGTTGAAGTGTAGCGCAGATTAAAAGGAACACAGCATGAATGAATGTCAAGCTGGCTTTGGTGGGTGGAATTATTAACCTTTTATTTTCAATGAGAAATGACAAATTACACTTTTTAGACGGTAAAACAACGGTGAGGAAGAAGTAAAAACACAAAAGAGAAAGCCCAGGAATGGGAGGTTGGGTGCTGATCTTATATTGGGCCTGTGTAATCCATTGGTCCGTAAGGTTCAAACCACTCAGCCCAAAGACCCTTTTTCCTTTTAGGATTCCAGCCCATGTCCTTGCAGAGTTGGTCGTTGTGCCAAATATGCAATGCACCGATGCATGATTTCCTGTAGTACTTCTTTGAGTATCTCTTCTTGTATTTATCCCATTCCGCTATGTCTTTCTCCATCATGTTTACGCTAGGCAGCTTGAATTTTCCATCAAGAAGCTCTGCCAGCCATCGGCACCTTATTTCTGAGGTGTAAAGATTTGCTATGCTTTCTGAGAATCCAATAATTGCCATTTGTGGAATTTGGGGATGAATGCATTCCCTGATAATAAGTCAGAAGTATAAATATTTATTATTTTCACAGCAAGGGTTGTTTTATGTATTACTCACCTATAGAGGGGAACTGCAGCAGAATCGTCTGAGCCTGCTATGAGTTGCTGATATTTTGGTGATTCAAAAATGTGTTTGAGCTTATCAATTCCGTTGAAGCCTGTGGCGAGTATAACTAAGTCAGATTTAATGGGTTGGGCCTGACCTTCAAGCACAATGCCTTGTTTAGTAAATCCAAAACTCTTAGCTTTCTTGAGTTTGAGACGTCCTTCCTCAACTCTGTCGTAGAAGCCGTGAGGCACTGTAGAAATTAAACAGGCACTCAATTCGTTTAAGAAACTATGATCTGGCACCATCCCGTGCTTTGAAAGCCCGAGCTTGTGTTTTATATAGCTTTCCACAAACTTTGAGAAGCCCCACCTCTGTAAAATGGATGAATTAATATTTGTAGATGAGTTTTATTATTAATTAATTAGATAATAATAATAATAATAAGAGGAATTACCAGAGGTGAGAGAATTGTAGCTATAAGATATAAAAGAAGGCCTTCACCGGGTTTATGCACTGTAAGTTCTGAGAATCTATTCAAATAGAGTTTTGCCATTGGGAATCCCCAGGGGAAATAATCAGGAACGTTCCAATGTGGTGTCCTGATTATTACGGTGCACGGACGTTCAACCCCTGCAAAATTGATTGTTACGTTGATGGAAGAAAACAAAAGCTGAATTGAATTCATGTCTTACTACCATTTACTGTGGAGGACTCCATGGCAATGTCCAGTCCTGATTTTTGGAATCCAACAACGGCTACATGTTTTCCTTTGACAAAGTCGGTTGCAGTTGTGGAGTCCATCTTTGAATAATCCATTGAATGGATTACTTTGCCTTCAAAAGCTTCAGGACCTTTGTTTTGAGGGAATTCAGGTATGTTTGGGACTTGACTGAACTTTCCCACACAAACTACTACATAATCAACTTGGTATACCTGCTGCATACATTGAGTAATCAGAGGGATGTGTATTAATTATGTTTTGAAATTTATGTTTGATTAGTAGTGGTTACCTTTATGGATAGGGTTGGAGTGTGCTGTACAGTAACGTTCCATTTGCCATTAGACATCCATTCTCGGCTGGTTCCATTGCCACCATCATCTTCATAGCTAAGGCTCAATACTTTGTTATTGAACTGAATGTGTCTCACCAAATCAAAGTGACGTGCGTATGATTCAATGTACTCCAACACCGTGTGTTGATCGGGAAACACTTCAGTTACAGAATCAGGCCATGGAAAATCAGAGAATTGGTAAAGGGGTTTTGGTGTCTGCAGTTTAGTGCTCTCAATAGTCTTACTCCAAACACCTCCAATGCTACTTTCTGACTCGAAAACAATTGGATCAAATCCTTTGGAAATTGCATATTTGCAGGCCAAGAGACCGCTGATTCCACCTCCAATTATTGCTATCACCTCCTTCCTTCTCCCATCACAATTTGCCATTTCTCTCTCACTAATATAAATGTGCCGATTGAATGTTCATTTTTAGGAATACCATTTACACTATTTATAACACTACTGGCCCCATCCCCATCATGATTTCATTAACTTCTTAGCTAATAATTAATCTTATATTGATTTGACACAGTTCTTAAGAAAACTTTTATTAGAAATATAGATACCCAGTAATATGAGACGGAAGTAATATTTATTTATTTTGGCTAACCATGAATAAATAATATATACGACTCCAAAAACTAGTGCTTGGCCAGGTCGATTTAGACAAAACTTGATACTTTACCATATATTTTAGGTAGAATGACATGAGAGATTCTTATACTTGGCTCCGTTTGTCAGTTGGACCCTTATACTCATGACTTTGTCAACTGAACCCTTAAACACATTAAAATGCAATACTTTAAACCCCTTTCTTATTCTATGTGTATGAGTGTAGCACAACCGATTACACATGAAATTTCACGTCATTTTGTAGAATTTCATGTCATTTTTAATGTCACATAAGAAATTAAATGTTAAAAATAAAAAATAAGTTTGCACATTGAAATTTTCTAAAAATAAAAAATAAGTTTGCACATTAAAATTTTCAATATCATGTTCTTCATATTTGTTCATAATTGAGCACTAAATTCATGTCAAATTGGTCTAATTCTTCCTATTTTACATGAAATTTTTTTACGGTTAAAGCTTCCCAACACAAACCCAATAATTTTCCATCATAATTTTGAATTAATTTCATAAATTCACAAAACCCATTTGTTATTCTTCAAGCTTTTTCATGAAGTTTATCACTTTCAGTATACACCATTACTCTTCAAAATTTCGAAATTATCTAAACTTCAACCTTTCACAAACAAGATTTGAAAACCCAGATTTTTAAAAGTGTGTAAATCAACCAAGATTCATAGAGAAGAAATTTGAATCTCAAAATTAAAGAAACTAAAATGATTTAGATAGAGATTTGGTTGGGTGGGGTGAGGGGTAGGGGGCGGGTGTTAAGAAGAAGAAGAAGGGGGTGGGGTGCGGGGGTGGGTGGTTTCAAGGAAGAAGGAGAGGGTGGGGGTGGGGGTGGGGGTGGGGGGCTGAAGGAAGAAGAAAGTTAAATTATTTTTGTAATGATTTTTAATATAAAAAATATATATTCACTTCCTTTAAGGCACGTCAAAAACTAGTGCTTGGCCAGGTCGATTTAGACAAAACTTGATATTTTACTAGCCCTCGATTTCCTCATTGTTTTATTATACTTGATTCGAATTATAAATTAAAAAAAAACAGTAAGAACGTGATTGTGAATGATGTCATTTTCTACATTATTGAACAATTAATTGGTGAAAATCGTACCATCATGGTCCATTTTTAGGTGGCGTTTTTCCATGGTATGATTCGATTGTTATTTTATACCCTCTCAAATTTTGCTTTAAAACTCTTCAAACTTTAAACAATATAATTAAACTTCTCATTAGTTCCATTGACTTTTAACCAATAATTAATTTATAAAATTATTCTCTCGTTTCATATAATTTGATCCATGTTAAGTGACACAATTCTTAAGAAATTTTTTATTAGGGTGTATTTTTACTAAATTAAATACTTAAGAAATTTAAATTTGACTATTACTATTTTATATAGTTATTTAATATAAAAGTAAAAAAGGAAAAATATACAATACAACACTTTTGATTTTTTAAATTAGACAAGTCAAATAAAATATTATTTTTTGATATAGAAGCCAAGTAATATTTGAAGTTAAGAGGCCTAATGTAACTACACTAACTACTTTTGTGTGTCATTAAGGTTTTTCACAGTTAAATCAAAATGTTTATTGATTGTAAGATCCGTATGTTGTATAAAGTAGAAGATTTTTTCAATGCACCACTAGCTTAATTATCCACAAGTGACCTCCATTATTACAGATTTCATTAAATGAAAAGAAGTATTAGGTTTAAAGGGAGAGATAAATTGATTCAGTCTTTTATTTCTGATGAATCTTTTAATTGAGTCTAAGTACAGAAATGTGGATATGAATTGGGTGGATTGAAGAAAATTTGAAGGATTGAAATTTAAATTTATCCCGTAGAAAGATGCTATATAATAATTAATAATAATAGTAATTACAAAAAAAATTGTATTAGTTTTAAGGGTAAAAATGAATTTTAAAAAAATGGATTGAGAGGTTTCTTAATTCAATAGGTGAATAAGAGATATATTTATATTTTTTTGAATAATCAGGAGTATTTTTAATTCTTTTCTATAGTTTTATTAGCCTCGGTTCCCCAGTGTTTTTATTATACTTGGATTCCCAATTACAAACATTGCTAGAACGTGGTTGTGAATGATTTTCGTAACATCATGGTCCATTCCAGCTTGATTCCCCATTGTTTTAGTTATTTTATTTTTTATAATAAAAAATAATACTTCTGAAATCGTCCGATTATCTCGATTTCTCTTCAAATGGTACTGTCCGATTAATTTATGATATTATTTTTGAAAATAAATATAGAAGTTAGAATACCTACCATGTATATTGTGTAGGACTTTGACAAAATTGTTTAAGCATTTTATTGTTTAAAAGGTGATG